TTGATTTATTAAGCTTTTTTTAAGCTACCATTCTGCCAACTTTAGCTAGCCTTGTCACGATTTGCTACGTTTAGATTTGAGTAGCTATTTTGCTAATTTTAGATTTTTGGTAACCCTTTGCCGCTTTAGAAAGCCATTACTTGTATATTTTTCCTAGCTGTTTGCTATCTTTAGCTTCAGCATCCTTTTGACAGAGGTCTATACAGTACGAGAAAGAAATAAATGAATAAAAGTAAAAATACCTTAACAGAAAATGATTGGTAAAAAAGAATTTCACTGATAAGAAAGTACTTTAGTAGGCCTAAAAGTCATAAAACTGCTCACAATAATCAGAAAAGTAAAAGTACTTTTACATACACTGAAATTAAGTATTGAATTTCTTAACCAAACTGATTCCACTTAACTAAGTTGAGTAAATGTAAATCAATTTGCATATTATTGCCTGACAATTATTCAACTTGGTTAAGTGGAACCAATTGACATTACTTGGTTAAGTAATATCAACACCTCATTTTTAGAGTGTATAAACAACTGTTTTCATGATGAGTTCCAGTCAGTTTTAAATTTATAATGTGTAATTAGGTGTTCAATTTCTAGAGTAAAGACACAAAAATATTTTTGTGTTTTGAATGTAATGAAATAAAAGTAAATGTTACTATTAAAAACGTACTTGGTAAAATTGAAAAATTACGTAAGTACAGTAAAGTAGTGAATGTAAATGTGCTTAAACATGACAAAATTGTTGGTACTCCTCATTTAATGAAAGAAAAACCCACGGTGGTCACAGAAATAACTTGAATCTGACAAAACAGAATTTTCTTTAAAATAAAACTCATAAAATAGGCCTGGACAGTAAAGATGGTACCCTTAATTTAATACAGTATTTCAAGGAGACTTCTGCAGCTCTCAGCAGGTATTTTGGTCCACTCCTCATGAGTAAACTGCTCCAGTTGTCTCAGGTTTGAAGGGTGCCTTTTCCAGACAGCATGTTTCAGCTCCTTCCAAAGATGCTCAGTAGGATTTAGGTCAGGGCTCATAAAAGCCCTCTTCAGAATAGTCCAACGTTTTCCTCATAGCCATTCATGGGTGTTTTTTACTGTTTTTTGGGCCATTATCCTGTTGCAAGACTCATGACCTGCGACTGAGACCAAGCTTTTTGACACTGGGCAGCACGTTTCCCTCTAGAAACCCTTGAYAGTCTTGAGATTTCATTGTACCCTGCACAGATTCAAGACMYCMTGTGCCAGATGCAGCAAAGCTGCCCCAGAACAACAGAGCCTCCTCCATGTTTCACAGTAGGGACAGTGTTTTCTTGATGCTTCATTTTTCTGTCTGTAAACAGAGCTGATGTTGCCAAAAAGTTCAGTTTTTGTCTCATCTGTCTATAGAGTAATTCTCCCAGAAGCTTTGTGTCTTGTCAACGTGAAGTTTGGCAAATTCCAGTTGGGCTTTTTTATGATTTGGTGACCTCCTTGATTGTCTCCCATTAAGTTCACTTTGGTTCAAACGACAAATGGTGCAATCTGACACTGATGTTCTTTGAGCTTGAAGTTCACCTTTAATCTAATTTAGGAGTTTTTCTGGTCTCTTTTGTTTCCCTTTGTATTATTCGTCTCTTTGATTTGTCATCAATTTTCCTCCTGAGGCCATGTCCAGAGAGGCTGGCTACAGTCCCATGGATCTTAAATTTCTAAATAATATGTACAACCATAATCACAGGAACATCAAGCTGCTTGGAGATGGTCTTATAACCTTTACCTTTAACATGCTTGTCTATAATCTTCTTTTTAACCTCCTGAAACAAATCTTTCCTTCTCTTCCTCTGGTCCATGTTGAGTGTGGTCCACACCATGTCACCAAACAGCTCAGTATCTGTAGGCCTATATACAGGCCCACTGACTGATTACAAGATTGTAGACACTTGTGATGATAATTAGTAGACGTACCTTGATTTAACATGTCCGTTATTTTCAGGGGTACCATTATTTCTGTCCAGGCTTGTTTCATGAGTTTTATTTAAAAAAAAAAAATTTAAGCGTGGTTGAAAAGCGTTGTCTGATTTTCATATGTTCATTTTTTTTAGAAATTTTTATTTATTACTTTTGTCAGATTCAAGTTATTTCTGTGCCCATTGTGGGTTTTTCTTTAATTAAACAAGGGGTACCACCAATTTTGTCCACGTGTGTAGCTTCAATACACCTCTGCCTCTTTGTACATTTAGCTAATAATCTGCTTGCTTTTGAGTAGAATTTTGCTACTTTTAGCTTTAGCTAAACTTTATCACCTTTAGTTTATATTTTGCTTTTGATACGTTTTACCAGTTCGTTCATTCATTCATTCATTCATTCATTCATTTCTACAGCACTTTACACAACCAGTGCTGGTGACCAAAGTGCTTCACAAAGTCAGTGATTAACATGACAACAATTTAAAAAACAAGAAAACACAACAAAATAGCAAAACTTAAACCAGAAAAGTCACCACATATTTAAGTACTAAAAGCCTGTTGGAATAAAAAGGTTTTACGTTTTGATTTAAAAGGACCAAGTTCAGTAAACAAATGTAGATCAAGAGGGAGCTGATTCCAGAGACGAGGTGCGGCCGCAGAAAAGGCACGATCACCCCAGCGTTTATATTTTTTGTCCTTGGAACAGAGAGTAGGAATTGGCTATCTGACCTCAGAGACCTGGAGCAAGTGGGAAAACTTAACTACTCTGTTATATAAGGAGGAGCAAGGCCATTTAGAGCTTTAAAAACAAACAATAAAAATTTAAAATCTATTCTAAAACGGACAGGAAGCCAATGTGGTGAGGATAAAACAGGTCTGATGTGGTCCCATCCCATTACAGTTTGGCTACTACTTGTCTACATTTAGAAGTTCACATCTAATGTAAATATTAAATGTACTTTCTGTAATGTTCCCTCTGAATCTGTTGTCAGAGTTGTTAAGGAACTAAGTACAAATACTTTGTTACTGTACTTAAGTAGAAATTTTGGTTATCTGTACTTTACTTGAGTAATTCTTTTTAAGCAAACTTTTTACTTCCACTTCTTACATTTTTACACAATTATCTGTACTTTCTACTTCTTACATTTTTAAAAAAGGCAAGAAGTAGAAAGTCGTTATTTTATTTCATTTTTGCTTGTTTTCATTTCGGCTAGTCATTGTTAAATGAAAATACTATTTTTGCACCTCCCGGATAGAATGAATTTAACTGTGGTTGGATGAGATAAAAAAAATGTAATTTTTTTTTCATGGGATCAATAAAATATCATTCATTCATTCAGGTATACATATTTTTATACTATTCTGACACTGTATTAGTTTGTACACAATCCAGGACAGCTGCACATGACACATATATCATACTCCAGCAGGACATAGCAGACATAAAATATATAGCGAGTAAAATAAGTACTGAACACGTCACCATTTTACTCAGTAAATATATTACTAGAGGTGCTAATGACATGAAATTTTCACCAGATATCGGTAACAACCCAAGTGATCCATACATACAAAGAAATCA